GGGGCTGGCTCCTCCCCACCTCCGCTCCCGTACTCAGACCGGCCTGCCTGCCTCACCTGTGTCGGGTTTCCCTCTGCGGTCCCCAGTCCCCGAGCTTGTTCCAGCTCAGCAGGTATCCCCTGACCTGAACTCCTTTCATGTTTTATATTTTAGCAAATCCTGACTTTTTGTAAAAGAGAAATTTGAGAAGAAAACACACCCATAATTCTTTTACTGTACAAATTCTTGTTCCCATTCGCTCGCATCTACTACCATTTCCATTACTAATGTGAAGTTTTACGTGGTCTCTGCCCTAGTGCGCATATCAAATTATTTTTACATCTACTCGGCACTATTTTCTCAAGATCTAGGTCTCTGAAAACGACTATTGTATAAACTGCATCATATCCCAGCACCCTTGGGAGCCATCGTTCACCTTCCATCCCGCAGGTGCAGACAAGGTTCTTCTCCCCAGGTGTGAGCACTCACAGGTAAAGCCACCAGGGTCTCCAGGAACGCGAGCCTGCCTTTTGTGTTGTTTACTAAGCTTTCCTTTGTTTCTACAGTTGATTTCCTCGTGGGGTCCATGGGGATGAATAGCTTTGTGGGTCTTGATTCCCAAAGAGACCGTGCAGATCTGCTACGACACCTGTGGCACCTGGGTGGGTTTCCCAAGGACAGAGCTGGACGGAGCCAGGTGACAGGCTTAGAACAGGTGAATCACAGGGCTTTGTGTTGGATGGGGTCCCCTCCCCTGTGCGTGGCCAGCCCTGGAGTTCGACTTCTAATAGGCGGGTGACAGGACAGTGGCTCTTCTGGGGCATTCCACGTCTCTCTCCGGCCCTCCACTGCTCTGGGGACACTGCAGCTCCTTTGTCAGGCTGTGTGACAAACAGCGACTTTCAGAGTGCTGGCACCAGCCACTAGCCTCCCTGCCCCAGGCCTCTCACCACACAGCCCACTGAGAATCTACCATCTGGGGCCCGATGCACATCCCCGTTCCTCATGGACCATGACTTCCTAGTTCTCTGTGTCCCAGACTCAGGGGAGGTCAGGCACCTCAAAGACCTTCCAGGATGGCTGCTTAGTGAGCTCATGGTCAGGGAACCAGATGCAAGGCCACCATGAGCCCCAGAGGATTACTCCCGGGGGGCCACAGTGCTGCCAAGGGCAGCCAGGAGCTGGTGGGTTCTGGGGACTGTGGGCAGGTTTGCCCCCAGTAGGGGCACTGGCCATCCTGCTGCTGCGCCCCTCCCATCTGCTTTCCAAGGATCCAGCAACTTGGCTCTGCCTGGAGCCACACAATAGCTTTTAGACCTAGTTGGGGAAAGAGAAGAGGCGCTTGGTGGAGTCAGCCCTTTCCAGAGCTGTACCCCAGTGACTTGGACTGGCTCAGGTGATTCTGAGCCAGGTGAGCAGAGCCCTGCAGTTCTGTGCTCTCTGTTACTCATCTCCATGCAGCTGCTCCAGATGGGGGCTGACACCCACGTGTGGGGAGGAGCCAGGGGCTGACTGGGGCCTCCAGACCCTTCCAGAGAAGACCTGTTCCTCCGGGCCTGGGGACATGGTATGTACATCCATGCATGAGTTCATATGTACACACACACATATGCACAGAAGAGACTCCCAGGTATGTCCCTCGTCCCTCAGCTCTCCCCCAAAGGGCTCGTCCTAGCTTCCTTGTGAAGGGATCATGTCTAGGTTCTGAGCTCTCCGAGTATGCTCCGAAGGCACCTTAAGGAGCTGGGGCACCCCTTGGGGACAGTCCTGTTCCTTCCCCCTGCCATCAGGCTCTCTGCAGCCAGGTCTCCCTTATGAGCCTGCATTTCAGAAGGACCAGTACCCACTGTTCTGGGGCTTCTCTCCATGTGTGAACTTGGCATGTGGCTGCCCTGGCTGGCCTTAGTTTACCCACTGATGCAGTGAGCAGGTGTATCAGAGCATCGCCAGGGGCCACTGTAGCTTTGCTGGTGGAGGACTCAATGCCACATTGCCCAAGTTCTGGCTGGTTCTCCCTGCATCCTGCAGTTTTCTGACAAAGGAGGGCATGTAGCACTTGAAATGTTCTCACCTCCTGCTATTTTTGCAAGAGGCCTGAACACAGTTGTTAAAAATAGAAATAATGAGGGAAAGCAGCCACTTCTGACCTTGAGACACGAGGGCAGGACAGGATCCCAGCATCCTCTCTGGCTCCTGATGATAAATGATCATTGCACTGTGTCTGTCCTTAGCTAATTTATCCTTAGCCCAGAGAGAAAGTTTCTGCATTTTTTTTTTGGAAAGCTGGAAGTTTCTCGAAGCCTAACAGCTTCACCTGCTCTTTTCTGTGTATTCTTTGCCTGGAATGCCATGGGGAGTCTGTCCCCACTGCTCTGGGGCCTTGCCGGAAGCCAGTGTGGTCTGGCAGACCTGGGTGTGCTGGCGTGATGCCCCTGCTTCTGCAGTTGTGCCTGGCCCCCTGCAAAGGGGCCCAGGAGGGAGACGGTATCAGAGGAGCTGCCAGGGCAGGGCACATGGGGTGGCAGGCCCCCATCCTCTGGCTACTGTGTGTACAGTGTCTCTTGAAGATGCAGAAGTCCATACCTGGAAAGCCCTTAGCATCTGCCCCAGGTGGCTTCTCCTGGATCCAGGAGGATTCAGGTGTTGGTGTCTCTTTTTACTCCCCGCACATGCATTGCCACTCCCTGCTCTGTGCTGTCGCTCTTCTGATCAAGAGGAATCCCAAGCCCCCAGGACCCTCAGAGAGTTGAGGAGGTCATCAGAGAGGCTGGCACCCACCTCCAAGATGCCCAGAAGTGAGGGTAACACTGCCTCCCCTGGCCTTGGGTTCGTGGTCTGCACTGATTTCAGCTTCAATATTTAAATTCCAGGATGAGCTCACAGTGGTGCCTTCTGTCTTCAGAGCGCTAACTCCGGAGAGACTCAGGAGGAAACAGACTAAGACTCTCCTGGAAGTTACAGGGAATGCATGCGCAGCTGGGGAGCAGGAGGTATGTCCCCAGTCCGTGGGGGTGCCTGGCTGGTGTGAGTGCCCCAGTGTGTTTGGAAAGGGGGCAGTTTAACCTTTTGTCCTTTATAGTTGACTTCCAAGGCAGGTTTTGGGTCCGTACCAAGAGCTACCTAAACAGTTGCTTCTGCCCATCTGCTGTGTCCGCTGGGACATGGGCATGGATGTCAGCCTGCTGTCACACCTGCCTTGCATTTGTGTCCATTCACAGTTCTCAGTGTAGTTCCTGCTGGTGCAAAGAGTGGATGTGGAGCTGTACATATATGTGAGTACACAAACCAGTGCATGGACATACATATGGACATACATGCACACATGTGTGTACACACAGGCACATGCCCAGGTGTGGAAAGGCATGTGCAGGTGTGCATGTATATCTTCCCAGGCACTCAGTAACACTCTGCCCTAATTCCCTGGGGCCATGCAGTTGACAGCTGGCTGGTAAGTCCTGGGGAGCCCGTCCTTGGCTGGCTCATCCTGCTGCTGTGATAGAGTAGCTCTTATACTAGATGAACAGGAGCTGAACTGCCTACTGGGGATTCTCAGGGTTTCCTCTGGTCCACCAGGAAGATGGAAGCAATGAGACAATCTCATACAACAGTGATGCCTAAAGTTTGCATAATCTTTCATGTCATTCAAAATAACATAAAAATAGTAACACAGAAGATTAAAGGGCTAGCCCAAAGTCACACAGCAACTCAGCAATACAGCTGCTCCCAGGAAGCCTGCCCTCACTGCACAATTTGACTGGCCAGCTTTCAGAGAACTTCTGACTTCAACAGAAGCCCAGGGAAACACACCTTGTGCCAGTGAATTTCTCCATATTCCAGGAAATGATGCACAGCCACGGGCTCAGCAGCCTCCCAGGTAGGGTGTGGCATGTACCCCCAGAGCCTGAGGGTGGGTGACCTGGCTGTCAGTTCCAACAGTGGGCTCGAGGGATAAGGGGAGGTGAGAGGGCCCAGGGGTCTTGCTTTGAAACCAGCATCAGCCACTCAAGATGGACAGGGAGGTGGTGCCAGGTGGGTTTAGGGGAAGACAAAAGCCCGCGGTCCATGCGGGGCTGAGAGTCTATGACGTGACCTCAGTGAAAACTGCTCTGCTTTGTGCTTTGTGCCCGGCCAACCTGCTGTCTGACTCCACAACCACCACGCCAGAACAGCACATCGAGAGCACACACGACCACACGCGCCTGGGCCCAGCCAGCCTCATGGGCAGTGCCCAGTGCTCTGTCTCCACTGGGCTCTCTGGGAGGGCCGCTCCCTGAGGGCTCACAGGCAGACGTGGTCCAGGGGAGGGTGGGCCTGAGTGGCCTCCAGCAGCATGGGCTGGGTACTCCCGGGAGTGTCCAGGGCCTGACACTGTCACCACGTTAGCTCCTGCCTTTCCTCCTCGGGACAGGGAGGCCCCGCCTGAGGCCCCATGGCTACTAGACACCCCTGCTATGCTGCCTTCACTGATTTCCTCACTTTCAGAACCTCTCCACTTCCAGGGCACAGCTCAGCCATCCCGTGCAGGCTCCTCTAACATGGCCATGCCTCCCGTGGGCAGGAACCCTGTTCTGAGCACCTTTGGGCATGCCACACTTCACACACCTGCTCTCCAGGCCTGCTTAGCTTGTCATTTCCTCCTGTGCCCAGAAGGGGATACTGAACCTTTGTGCCACAGAGCTGGGCTGTGGGGTCTGGGGTCCTCTTACTGCCCAGGATTCCAGGTAGCCTCAGAGAAATGCTAAGGTTGGCCGTCCCACATGCCACGCACCTGTGCCATGTTCCCTCCATCCATCCACAGCGGAACCTGCAGCCCCAGGCCAGTACAGGGCTGGTACACAGGTGGCAGCAGAGGGATGTGAGTAGAGCCCTGGCAGAGGGGCAGTGGGTACATGGGCACACGCCTGAGTGTGAATCCCAGCAGCATTATTATGACCAGATTTTAGAAATGGGCATATTTGTTGGGATGAAACCCTCACATTGCTCCTCATTGTAACTGTGAAGATTCTGAGGATGGGGGAACCAATGCTCTTCCCCTACACAAAGGTCAGCCAGTGAAGAAGGGGCTGCCACTCACCCTCCTCACAGCCTGGATCCACCTTGTGGGGTCTCTGCTTCTACCCCTCTTGCTGGGGATGGTGCCCACCTGTGGGTGTCATGGTGATGAAACCCGGTAGGGAGCTCCTGGCACCAACACACAGCATGTGCTCAGCAACACTAACTCCCAGGTCCCCGAGCCCCAGGCCTCCATGGCCCTGGCCCCCACAGTCCCTCTGCTGGCATCTTTCCCAGGCTTGGGTCCCCCTCCAGCACTGCTGGTCTCAGCTCCGTTGTGAAGAGGCCAGGCCAAACCGCACCGAAATGAAGATGGTGGGCACCCGAACAGTCAGAGAGAGTGGGGAGGCAGGAGCCAGAGGAGCAGGGAGAATCAGTCCCTGCAAGGAGGGGTCCCAGGAGCAGGGACACTAGAAAGGTCTTGAAGCATGTGTAGGAGCTCACAGGAAGAGGGCCAGAGGGTCCCCAGGGAGGAGTGGGTCTGCTCTGGCATCCTGCTAGGCTGCTTTCCTGAAGCTCTTGCACCAGTAGTTCAGCAAATCCACCCTTTATGGTTTTTCTGTTTCTAGTGGTCAGACCTGCAGGGTTCTTAGGCTTTCAGAAATATGGTGCTTTAAAACCTGTGTCCCAGATCAGTGTCCTCCAGAGAGCAGGCCTGTCTGTGTGGACTGGCCTTCTGTGTGGACGAGGGAGATCCTGGCTGTGGTGCTGAGAGGGCCCAGCCCCAGACCACACAGGGAATGCCACCCGCAGCTCACCCCAGGGAGGGAAGGGGCAGGGAGAGAAGTAGGACAGATCCCCAGGTCAGGGGCAAACCCAAGTGGCCCGAGGGGCTCCCCTAAGCACACTGTCCCTCTTCACTCTGCCGAGGCTCCACGGAGTCCTGAGTCAGGAGCACTGGGAAGGCCCCGGTTCCAATGCCTGCATGTGAGTGCCCCCCTCCAGCCTGGGCCCTGGGTTTCTGAGGAGCAGGCACAGCTCTTGATATGAGATCCAGAGGGAGCAGGGTTTGACCTGGAAAACCAATGCTTCTCATGCACGCAGCACCCTGGGCCCAAGGGGCCTCATCCTTGGCTGGTGACCCTTACTCCTTGGCCTTGGTGGTCCCTGGGAGGTTCCAGGGTGGTCTCCTCGCCGTGGCAGGAATGGCCAGAGGCTTGCAGATGGTGCGGGGTGGGCGGCGGTCCTGTTCCGGGGTGAGGCACAGGCAGGGGTGCAGGGCGGCAGGGTCGGGGTGTGGCCCACGGTGCTCTCATTCTGCAGGAGACTCCTCCAGGAGAGCCTTTTGGGTTCCCCCCCCCGACTCTCAGCCTCCTTGTTACCCTGTCCTGCTGTCCTTGGTCTGAGTGCTTCCATCCCTCATGCTGTTTACATAGTGGGTGATCAGGATGCGGCCAGTCAGGCAGGGCCAGTCCCTTCTAATTTATGGTGGATTTGGACCCTGGGATGAGATTTGACCCCAGAACATTTCTTGCACCACTTCTGCAACAAACTGAGGGCTTGTGTGCCCCACAGCAGATACTGAAGCCTGATGGGGGGCCATTGGGAAGTGCCTGAGTCGGGAGGGTGGAGCCTCCGTGAGTGGGATCGGTGCCCTTACGTGAGAGCCCAGAGAGCTCTTTTGTCCCTTGGGCCATGTGAGGACACGGTGAGTAGATAACCTTCTAGTGACCAGGTCCCAGGCTCCAACCAGACACCAGATTTGCCATATCTCAGATGCCCAGCCTCCCAACTGAGAAGTGAACACTGGCTGTTCAGACCGCCCTGCCTCTGGTGTTTGAAATCAGCCATGACCCCACACTCCCTTTGTTCTCTGTCCAGCAACACCAGAATGCCCCTGCACTGGGCTCGCGGGTGGGCTGGGCCCTGGGCCCTGGTCTGCTGTCCTGCCCGGCCCCCTCTGGGGCCTCCATGGTCAGGGGCAACATTAGAGTCCAAACGCCCCTTGGGTGCCTGGGTTTGAAAGCTCCAGGACCCAGAGGACCTGCCTGGGAGTTTGGGAATGAGCACACCCCAGAACAGCCCTGGCCTCTGTGCCCTGTCGTGTTGGCTCTGTGTGGGCCCTGAGCCCACAGCAAGGACAACTCTGGAGCCCAGGGGCAGCTGTCTGGGCAGGCCATGCCCACCACGGGCGACACGGGCCATCCTGGAACACAGAGGAACATGGGCAGGGCCGGGAATGCAGCCCTGGAGGAGGAGGACCTGGAAGCCAAAGTGGAATGTTCTAGAAAGTTACCCTTGCTTTGGCGTCACTGTGGGCACCCAGTGTATTTCCATCCTTTGACTCCTGCTTCTCCACTTCTCATTATGACATATTTATAGTCCAAATTGCTGAGACCTCTGAAAATATCCAAATCTTCACACCCGTGTTCTCACCTGAGGGGCCAAGCTAAGAAGAGAGAAGTGAGGGCGGGGACTCAGGAATAGACCACGGAAGGAGGGGCATGTTCCAGGGGAAGTCAAAGGCAGCCTGGGGCCCCCTGAGGTCTGGGGCTAGCAAGGACTCAGTGTCCCCGCAGCCTGTGTATGTGCTTGGGGTGGTCCTCCCTGGCTCTGCTGAGGCAGTGAAGACATGGCAACAGTGGGGAGCAGGGGCCCCAGCGACCTGGAGCACACTCTGCTCAGAGTGAGAGACACCACCTGGCCATGGGGTGGGGAGGCTGGCTTGGGAGGCTCAGGGCTGGGGCGTCAGTGTGACGTGGGACCCGTGGGGCCCTGGAGAAATCCAAGCTGGCCCCAGTGCTGACGGGCTCTTCCTGGCCCAGATAGACTGCTGCTCCCCCCGGACAGCCTCCTTTCACCGCAGCACTGGTGGTGGCTCCTGAGGGAAGGAGCCAGTCCTTAGGGTGCCCTGGGCACCAAGACCCCCACCCCCAGCCTGCAATCATGCCCCCTGCTCCTCTCAGGCCAGGACCCAGCATCACCACAGCAGGTGAGGGCAGACTGGGGCTTCTGGGCTGGGCCTTGACTCATCCCATCCCTGCTCCTCACCTCATGCAGCGAGACCTGCTCAGAAGGCACTGGATCGGTCCTGGCCCAGGCTTCTTCCTGGACTTCTGGTGGCACCTAAGCAGCCCAGATTCTCTGTGGCCACTATACAGGGAATCCCACTCAAGGCCAGATGTACAGGCTCTGCCCACGTGCGCCACTCAGGTGCCCACGTCTGCAGGGGACTGCCAGTCCTGTTCCCACAAATGACAATGCAGAGATGTGATAAAAGCCACCTGTCACTCATAGAATTCAATGTTGCCTTTCTGTAAAGCCATATGCCATCTGGGCCTCAGCCAAGAAATGGCCTATAAAATCCTGAGTAATGACCTCAAAGCATCCTTTCCAATATAAAGAATATTCTAGGCAGCTGTTTCCAGGATTTATCTGTGTGAGTAATTTTATGCCCCAACCTATTACGTGCTCAGTATCCAATGCCCTCTTCAGCAGCTCCTACCCATTAGCAGCACTAATGCATCTAGAATGTGCTGACAGTCATGGGGCACAGGACCTTGTCCCTGTGGGTGACAAGAGGCAGCACTGTGCTCATGTGCTATGCCCTTTGCAGTGGGCTGAGCAGCAGAGGTGACTAGGGAATGGTGGGCTGCCTTCCTGATCTCCCTTGTCAGGGAGGAGAGAGCTCAGCCCTGTCCTGTATCTGTTTCTATGGTAACATTGAGAATAGCAGGTTTTAAGAGTTGAACATGACCCTAAGTCAGGGGTCCCCCGGAGGGCAGGCATCCTCCCTGGCAAGGGCTTTTGGGGGCCCCTGAGCACGTGCCGCAGGCAGAGCCTGGAGTGTGGGGAGGGAGGAACCTGTTCTGGGCTCACTGTGGGGCTTGCACAATAGCAGGAGGTGTGGAGTTTCCTGGGTTGGCAGAGGAGGAAATGGGGTTCCCAGCACAGGCTGTCACCTGACACTATCGCTGTGGCAACAGGGCTTTTGGGTCTGAGGGGAGCTGAAGCTTCAGGGTGTCAATGCACCCCCCCACAGGGTAACCCGACGTCCCCACACTGTGCAGAATATCAGCATGAGGGCTTTGCTTCAGTCTCAGAGGGCTCAGTGTAAGAAGTTTCACTGTTCTGTAGTTTATTCTCTCACTTGATTCTTGCACTTGCCTCCAAATGTCAAATATTATTAGGCTAATATTTTTACATTTTCATCGCTGGCCAACAAACCTGTAGATTATATTCGTGCATAAAATGTTTGGTGAATGCCTTTTAATTTTTACAAACTGCTTCCTTCTAAAATAACTCCCCTATACCCAGGAAAAGACAGAATGATGTCACTGGCAACTTGGAGATAAAAATATTTTGCAAGTCTTATCAATTTTGGATTTCTAAGTTCAAGTAAACAAGCATCAGGGGTAATCAGAGTAATGTCCCTCAGCTGTTGAAGAAGGGAAGCAATTTACTTGATAACATCTTTAATTGCTGTGTGTGCACCCCCCAGAGCCTCCCCGCGCACTGGGGGCCATGGCCCTGGGTGATTCGGGAGAGGCCGAGGCAGCATCCCCACGTGATCACTGCAGGCCTGGCTCATTAGATCCGGGACCCTGCCCACCAACAGCCCACTTAGCACAAAAGGGGCATTCCACTGGTGTGGAGGGGAAGGCCACACACACAGGAGGACTGAGCCAGGAGTTACACACGACAGCGGGCAGACAATTTAGCTGTAACAGACTGTGGTGTAAATGTCTTTCACAGGGGGGAAACTGAGGCCCAAAGAGGTTTATCCACAGACCCACCATCACTTCACCTGTGAGGGCTGGAACCACAGTTAGCCAGGCCTGTGGGACTCCCCACATCACCTTCCAGTGTGCCCACATCCCTCCTCAAACCCACCTTCTCCTGGGGTTCAGAGCCCAGCCCTGACTCATGCAGCTGCGGGAAGTGGTGTGGCCTCAGTTTCCTTGTAAAAAAGTGTGACCGCTACAGTGACATCTTCTTTGTAAGGGTGACTCATTTTGTTCACCGATGCAAAGCCATGGCCAATTCGTGGCCATGCTGGTGGCCCGTGGCTGGTTCCACCTCCAGCTCTCCCTGTTCTTCTGGGCTCACATCTTGGACAGCATCTGGTCTGATGAGTGACCACTGGGCTGCCTGGGACCTGCAGGGGTGGGGATCGGCTGTGCCCCTGGGGCCTAAGCAATCCACTCTACCTTCCCAGGGGCCTGCAGGTGGGACCTGTCTTGGTGGGTCCCAGCCCTGGCACCTTCTCCCCCAGGCCCAGGCCTTGAAAGCTGCACTGAGGCCTTGGAAAGCAGGCCCTGTAAGTGGGCTAAGTGGGCTTCCCTCCTGGTACTGGGCTGTTTCCTTCTGCACAGTGGGTGAGGGGGAAGCTAGGGTCTCCAGCCCTGCCCGGCTCTGAGCAGGAGCCAGGCACACAGTCTCCTATCAGGTTCCTCCATAGGTGGATGAAAATAAAGTGACATGAAAAATGTGCAGCATGTGAATGCAATGTAAACATCATGTGATACAGAGCAAGAAAGAAAGCAAGGTAAGGGGTGGTGAGCAAGGGTGCCTGTGGAAGGCGTCGCTGATGCGGCACAGGAGGTCTAAGTCTTGGGGGAACAGCAGTGTTTGAGATGGCATGTGCAAAGGCCCTGGGCTTTTGGAGAGAGAGGTGGGTGGGGCAGCCATGATGCCATGCAGGCCAGGGTCAGCACTTGGATGGAGAGTCATGGCGGCTTTGAGCAGAAACCGACCTGTTCTGTTTGTGTTCATAGGATCCCTTGACACTGAGTAGAGAAATGTCAGGATGGGGAGGGTGGCACAAGGGTGGAAACCAAGAGACTAGTTAAGAGGCTGTTGCAATCCTCCAGGCAACACGGTGACTGATCAGCAGGAGAGATGGTGAGAACGCTGCATTGTGGACATATTTTGAAAATTGTGTTAATAAAATTTATGTTAAGGTTAACTCCACAAATTTTGGCCCTGGCAAATATCTGACTAGGGCTATTGGGGGAGATTCTGTCTCGGACGTGCTGGGTTTGAGCTCTTCTGTCATCCAAGTGGTGAGCTACAGGACAGTCAGCTCTGCAGACATAGGTGGGGGAGAGGTGCCACCTAGGGACAAGATGGAAAGTGCACCAGGAGACGGGTGCTACATGGTGGGCCTGCAGACAGGAGAGCCCAGGCTCAGCCATGCCTTGGGCAGAAGCTGGGCAGGCAACGAGGACGGGGCCCATCAACAGCTCGGTGGTCTGGTTACAGGCCCTGCACCCTGGGGCTGGGACCAGGACCCTGGCAAGGTCTGTTTGAGAAGCTCTTCTCATTTGGGCAGAAGTGTTTCTAACAAATGGCAGATGCATGTTTTCTGCATGTGCCCCATGTCAGAGAAAGGCAATTTCCTACTATTCGTGGTTTACTAAGACTTCTAAACAGGAATAAGTGCTGAACTTTGAGCACCTGCTGAACAATCAGATGATTCTTCAATGAAATGAAGTCATCTCTGCTTCTGGGTGATGTGGCCCTCCCTGCCTGGGGCTGATTCCCAAAACTCCTGAAACAACAGGGAACTTTCCATCTTGTCCTCTACTTGGGAGGAATGTCTGTAACATACAAAGCATCTGTTCCTTGACTTACTGATAAAGCTATCAGGAAAAACTGGCCTGACTTCTGTTTTTAACACCATTTTGCAATTTCTCCAATGTCTAGCCTATTTTCCACTCCTTTTTTGTCATTTCTTAGTACTCCTATTTTTTTTTTAGGCAGCATCCCCACGTGATCACTGCAGGCCTGGCTCATTAGATCCGGGACCCTGCCCACCAACAGCCCACTTAGCACAAAAGGGGCATTCCACTGGTGTGGAGGGGAAGGCCACACACACAGGAGGACTGAGCCAGGAGTTACACATGACAGCGGGCAGACAATTTAGCTGTAACAGACTGTGGTGTAAATGTCTTTCACAGGGGGGAAACTGAGGCCCAAAGAGGTTTATCCACAGACCCACCATCACTTCACCTGTGAGGGCTGGAACCACAGTTAGCCAGGCCTGTGGGACTCCCCACATCACCTTCCAGTGTGCCCACATCCCTCCTCAAACCCACCTTCTCCTGGGGTTCAGAGCCCAGCCCTGACTCATGCAGCTGCGGGAAGTGGTGTGGCCTCAGTTTCCTTGTAAAAAAGT